GTTGCTGCGTTGTTGCTGTTGCTGCTGCACTTGTGCCACTGGCAGAGTCTCGCAGCTACGGAAGCTAGCCTGTGCGCAGGCCGCTCAACCATTGAACCCTCCAAGCCCTCTAGCCCCAGAACCCTACCAGCTTATACCGTCGAACCCTCCAAGCCCTCTAACCCCACAAGCCTAGCAGCCTATACCAGGCTACAGCCCACCTGCACACAGGATGACCCAACTAAGAGCTCCGTCGAGCTCCCACGGAGCCCCCTCACTTCTTTGTCTTCGCCTTCTTCCCAGCCTGAGATTGGAGCGAGATAGGATACCAAAGCAAGCAGATCCCACCCTTCGGAGGCTAATGCAGGCTGGGGCACGCCCCGCTCGGGCACCACATCCTCCGCCTCGGCCTTTGCCCTCTTCCCAGCCTGAGATTGGAGCGAGATAGGATACCAAAGCAAGCAGATCCCACCCTTCGGAGGCTAATGCAGGCTGGGGCACGCCCCGCTCGGGCACCACATCCTTCTCCTCGGCCTTTGCCCTCTTCCCAGCCTGAGATTGGAGCGAGATAGGATACCCTTCGGAGGCTAATGCAGGCTGGGGCACGCCCCGCTCGGGCACCACATCCTTCTCCTCGGCCTTGACCTTCTTCGGAGCCTGAGATTGAGCGAGAAAGCAAGCAGATTTGGAAGGCTAATGCAGGCTGGGGCACGCCCCGCTCGGCCACCACATCCTTCTCCTCCGCCTTCGCCTTCTTCGGAGCCTGACATTGGAACGAAAAGCAAGCAAAACCTGCCGTTTCTAGGCTAGTGCAGGCTTGGGCACGTCAGGTGGGGGAGCCCAAGGCGACTCCGCTGCCGCCACCACACGTGGACTCTGCTTAGCCTATGGTCAGATGGGGGGGGGGGCCTAGGGCGGCCTGAAGAATGCTAAAACTGACAAAACGGGCAGCCAGGTTGCTGCCTTCGGCCCATAGACGGTGGGCTCTCCCTTGGGCTCCTCCGGCTTGGATGCAACCTGAGACCGGAACTCGTCCAACGCCGCAGCCCACCCCACCCCACCCCACCCTCCCCGGAAACAATGCAGGCTAGGTTCCGGCTGAAGCGGCCTCGATGGCATCGACGAGGATCCCGGTGCGTTCCAAGGGACACCGACAGCCTAGGATGCACAGGGCATTCAAGGCAGCAGACGAAACCCCATCCAGACCAATACAGGCCAGGCTCTTTTCGCTGCTCCGGCTGCGCAGCCTTTGTGCAACAGCCTATATAACCCATGTAAGTGGCATGCGGCATGCACCTCAAGATACTGCAGCAGGGGCACCGCCCCCGTCTCCGCCTCCTGCTTCGGCTTGTTCAGCATAGCCTGGAGTGAAGTCGGATGCACCCATGCAACACCAACCTAGACTGCAGGATAATGCAAGCCAGATGCCTCCAGCTCGTCGGCCCTCTGAGCCCGTCTTCGGAGGAAGTGAGCCTCCTGGCCATCCGGAGTATCGAACGGACTGCCGTGTGTACGCATCCTTTCCCCAGGCCTTGTGCGACATCGTCGCAGCCAAAGCCCCCTCCAGCTCCCGCACGCGGTCGATCAGGTTCTGGCCAGACATAGACACGACTGTCTAGGAATTCGACACTCCTGCACTCTGATGCCCCCTGCCTTTTTCTCCTTGACCACCACAGTCACCATCTCCTGTTGTCATGTTGTCCGATCGTCGCAGGCTGCATGTGTGCTGCTAGTACTCTGCTAGTGCTGTCTTCTAGTTTCGGTCCATGCCGAGCCGCCTGATAGTTGGGGCTCATATCCAGCCGCTTCTGCATCTCCGCGATTTGCTTCTGGTACTCCTGCACAGTTGTGTGACATGGGAGAAAACAAACAAAAGGTGTCTCGATGCAAACACTTGGAAGAGCAAAGTCCTTCTGCAGCTTTTGCCAACGATCGCAGCTATCCTGCACATCTGGGGTTAGGGGTTTCAGGTTTGGGGCGGCGAGCCAAAACAAGGAGCCTGGAGTCGCACCACCTGCTTGTCCAGGGCCTGCTTGATCCCTGTCTCTATGTTCAAAGCATGCTTGGCGTCCTGCGCAGAGGAATTCAGAGGATACTGTAGGAAAGTATGGGCGCTGAACCGATGTATCCTTGAGCTGGTCTCGGAGCTCGCCGGCCTCCTTCCTGACTTCCTGCAGGTTTCACAGACTAAAG